GAACCTTGCTGGAGAGAGCTAAGCAACTGACAAGGGAATATGATTAGCTAAAGATTTATAACCATACAAACAAAACTAAGAAAGATTTGTGTGATGTTGGGGAAAGAACAGAGTGAGTGTTCAGTAGAGTGGAACAGGAAGCCAGAATGTAGGCTGTTAGCACCATAGCAAATATGAGATGCAGAGCAAGAAATCTGCATTTTAAATAAAAAAAACTTCTGAAAAAAACTATAAAAAAGACAGTGTGAACTTTGAGCACTCAGAACTCTGTTTTTAAGAGAGCTGCTCCCAGTGATTTAGTTGTCCGCAGACTGCTCACAGAAACTATGTGCCATGCATTTCTGCTGGAAGAGCCACAGATGACCCAAATGCTAATTAATTGTGGTGATACCAGAGAAGCATGAGGTATTGTGAGGTTAGAGTTCCAAGGACAATGGAAAAAGGATGAATGAAACATTTGCATATTTTATTTATGGAACTGAATACTGAAATCTTACTAACAAATAAGCTGTTAAGAGATAAATATTAAAACTGCAAACACTGTATCAAAACTTGCAAGATGCTCCCGGCAATTAAAGGCCAACACATCTAACTTTGGTACCAGTCAAACTGGTTGAATCTGTAGTAAAGAACAGCATTATCAGACTCATAGATGAACATGATATATAGAGGAATGGAAATCATGTCTCACTAATGCTTTCAAATTCTCTAAGAGTGTCCACAAAATTCAGACAAAGATGATTCTATATAGAGAGAGAGAGAGAGAACATGTGGTCTTTCCAAAAGCCTGTGACAAGGTCCCACTCCGAAGATTCTTAAGCAAAGTAATTAGTCATAGGATCGGAGGGAAGGTCCTCCCATTAATCAGTCAGGAATGTCCACACTAGGGAGTTATTTTGAAATAATTCCCCCTATTTTGAAATAACAAGATGAGCATCCACAATATCAAGCCCATTATTTCAAAATAAAGGGCTTATTATTTTGAAATAACTGCTTGTGAAGAGGAATAGCTCTTTTTCAAAATTACCGGTATTATTTTGGGAATTATTTGAAAATAACTTATTTTGAAATAACTCCCTAGTGTAGACGTGCCCTAATAGATTAAAAGATAGGAAACAAAGGTCAGTTTCACATTGAAAAGAGGTAAAAAGCAGGATCAGTAATGACACTTGGACTGTTGAATATATTCATAAATTTAAAAGCTTATCCAGCATTGCCCAGGCCCAGTCTGGGGCTGGATGGGATGGCGGACCATGCAGGCCTCCTGCCAATCCTCCCCAGACTCAGTGGTGCTCCCAAGCAGGGCAGCAGCAATGGGACTTCCCTCTTCTCTCCAATCCAGCAGTGGTGCTGAGGGCCCTGGAGTAGGGGGTAGAGTTGTGATGAGTGTGGACAGAGTGGCCAGCAGGACACTTGTGTTATTTCCTGGAGGCCTCTTTTTTTGACAGAACTCCCTCTTCCTCATCCAAACACGCCTTTTTCCAAGAAAGCCTTCTGTTATTTCAACTTTTTGTCGAAATAACGCAGTTGCAGTAAGGGTGCAAGTATTGTTTTTCCAAAATAACGGCCATTATTCCGGAAATATGCTGCAGTGTAGACGTACCCTAAGATGGCAAAGTTCGTGGATGATACTAAATTAAGATATGCAAATTCAAAGCTTACTATGAGCAGTTTAAAAGGTATCTCTGACAACTGGGTGACTGGGCAACAAAATAGCAAATGAAATTCAGGCTTGTTAACTGCAAAGTATAGGGTATCCGCATGCTAAGTTGCCCCGGTATACATCGGTTTCCTACTAGTGTCGTTGACATTTATTACAGGACTATGTAGTACTTTAAAGACTAACAAAATGGTTTATTAGATGATGAGCTTTCATGGGCAAGACTCACTTCCTCAGATCAAATAGTGGAAGAAAATAGTCACAACCATATATACCAAAGGATACAATTAAAAAAAAGTGAACAAATATGAAAAGGACAAATCACATTTCAGAACAGAAGGGGAATGCGGGGGGCGGGGGGGAGGAAGGTAAATGTCTGTGAGTTAATGATATTAGAGTTGATAATTGGGGAAGCTATCTTTGTAATGGGTAAGGTAGTTGGTGTCTTTGTTGAGCCCCCCTTGAAGAGTGTCGAATTTTAGCATGAATGACAGTTCAGAGGATTCCCTTTCAAGTGCAGATTTGAAAGTCTTCTGGAGTAGGATGCAGGTAATTAGGTCGTTGAGATAGCGTCCTTTCTGGTTGAAATGGCAAGAAACTGTTTTTTCTTTGTGATCCTGTCTAATATCTGTTTTGTGGGCGTTGATCCTTTGGCGAAGTGTCTGAGACGTTTGTCCAATGTACATAGCAGACGGACACTTTCGGCACATGATAGCATAAATTATATTTCTGGATGCGCAGGAATATGTATTCTTGATCTTATAACTCACTTGGTTAGGCCCAATAATGGTATCAGCAGAGTGAATATGTGGACAAAGCTGGCAACTGGGTTTGTTGCAAGGGAAAGTACCAGGGTTGGTATTAGTGTGGTATGTCCTGTGGTTGTTGGTAAGAATCATCTTGAGGTTAGGTGGTTGTCTATAGGAGACTATGGGTCTGTGTTGACACTTATGGGAACTGTTCCATTTTAAGTCCTCCCATTCCCCACTATTCTGTCACGCAAAAAAAACCCCACCAATTCGCGCAAACAGAGGTCAGCCATGGGGAAAAAATTCCCCACTTTACATCCTTTCACTATACGTCCATGGTTTTTTTTTAAACGTATCTTGGATGTATAGCCGGGGACGCCCTGCAATGCAAAATACTGCACACCAGAAAACATGATCCCAAATAAAACTACAGATTGGTGGGTTCTGAATAATCTATTATTGCTCAAAAAGGAATTCTTGAAGTCCTCTAAAAACATCTACAGCCTCTTCCTGACTTACGAACCAGTTACGGACCAAGAAATTGGTCGTTATTCGGTTCGTTTGTAAGTCGGACCCAATAGAGTTACATGCAACCGTGCTGTTCGTAAGCACAGATCGCGTTTGTAATTTGGGGTCCGCCATTTACGACAGCTTTGGTCATAACTGTGAACGGTTGTAAGTCGACCGTTTACAACTCGGGGACTGGCTGTAGTTAGTGTGTTAGCAGCAGTTCAAAAAAATTTAACAATGTTAGAAACCATTGGCAAAAAGGGATAAATAATAACACTGGAAATATCAAAATGTCACTATATGAATCCAAAGTGCTTGCATACCTTAAAAACTGTGTGCAGTTCTGGTCATCCCATTTCAAAAACGATTCATTAGCACTGAAAAACACACAGAGAAATGCAACCAAAATATTAAGGGTATAGAATAGCTTCCATACAAGGACAGATTAAACTGGGACTACTCAGTTTACAAAAGAGACAACTAAGAGGGAATATGATAGAGGTCTATAAAATTGTGAATACTGTGGAGAAGGTGAATAAGGAAATATTTATTCCTTTACGTAATGAAAGAACCAAGAATCACCCAATGAAATTAATAGAAAACAGGTTTAAAATAAATGTAAGCAAGTACTTCTTCACAGAGTGCAGTCAACCCATGGAACTTTTTGTCATGGGATGTTGTGAAGACCAAAACTATAACTGGATTCAAAAAAGAATTTGACAAGATAGTGGAAGATAGGTCCATTCATAGCTGTAAGTCAAGATGTTCAACCAAAGCAACCCCAAGATTTGGGTGTCCTAAATGTCAGACTAGCAGAAGCTGGGACTGGACAACAGGAGTGAATCACTCAGTAAATTGCCTGTTCTTTTCATTCCCTTTGAAGAATCTGGCATTGGCTTCTGTTGGAAGACAGGATATTGGGCTAGATGAATTATTGGTCTGACCCAGCATGGCCATTCTTATTTTCTTAAGTAAGCTGTTATAACTTGGGTATAGTTGTTAATGATGTTATAGAACTATCTTCTGCTCAGATAAGTTTTACCATCAGGTTATCCTTACACTGTATGTGAATTTATCCACTTACAGGATTACTGTAGTAGACTTTTTACTTTCCATTATTTTTGTATTAGAAGTAGATACTATGGATATGAAATCTAATAATATATTTCATAAATGGAACAAATTTTAGAAGGAACCAAAATATTTATTTGCATAGTGGAAAAATGTTACGCCTGTTAAGATTACAGTGAGATATATCACTTAAAATGTTTATGAGCTGCATAGGAAAACATCTGTGATAAACATTATTGACAGTTAAATATTTAATCTACAAGCTTAGTATGAGGTTACCAGGCATACTGAATTAGTAGAAAGCGTATTTTATGTCATGGGGAAGGGAAACTATTTCAGACTGGATTTTAATATCCCTCAGAAAAACTTTATTTTGAGAGACTAATCCATTCCATTCAGCATTTTCAAGATATTCTTCCTATAATGAATTCTTTGGCTACTAAACATTTTACTTCAACTTTGTTGATTTAGCTAAAGTTTGCATCCCATTCAAATTAATAGTGTATTCATACAGGAGCACATTGTGCTCAGCCTATATATTTTAGTTCTGTCTTTCTTTTTTACAATCTATTATTAGCCTTTAAATAGTCATCTAATTGCACTCTATGAAAAGACATTGCAATTACTAACATCAAAGTGCATGCAGCAACTTAAAGGTTACAGTGTATAGTGCCATCACAAACCTTCTTTGTATTATTTATATTCATAAAGGAAATTCTGAGTTAAATCTTCAATGTTCATAGTGGCTATTCAAATTAGCATCAAACACTGCTTTCAGTATCATAATGTGATTTTAGTGTATATTCACTCACATTTGTGCATTTTACATCAGAAAAAGACTGACAACAAACATCCAGAAGTTAAAACCTAAGTTAGCTTTTTTGGTGAAGCCTGTGTTATGGAAAGGGTTAAGATGTAGTGTTTAGCCCCGCATTTGTGAACATTTTTGTCTTTCTTCCTTCCCCTCCCTTCTCTCCACACTGATGTAATTTTTTTTAATACTTCTACAGGTTCAGTCCATGCAACGTCAATAGCAGCCTCCAGAGTGGAACAGGCACTGTCTGAGGTTGCTTCTTCTTTGCAGAGCAGTGCTCCTAAGCAAGGTCCTCTGCATCCTTGGATGACTCTGGCTCAAATCTGGCTTCATGCAGGTACTGGAAAACAAAAACAACTTTTTTTCCCCAATTCACTAACCTACGAAGCAGCAGGAACCTGTATTCATTTCATTCAGCGAGTCAGAGTCTTATCATTTGTCAACTGAAATTGGAGCTTATAAAAAGTGACATTTTGTTTCATTTCAAGAAAGAACGTTGTATATTTAATTTATAAACCACTGGTCAATAAGAATGGCATTTAGTTTTTCATTTAATGTCCTTGTAACGGTGTTGATGCATTTTCTAACTACAGCTTAGACTCTTATTAAATCATGGATTTCTAAAATTTCTCATTTGGCAAATTTATCTTTGAGAATAAAGGATATGTTTTGTGGAACTTTTAAACTAAACTTCAGATCACCATAAGAATGTTTAATAATCTGGGAGTCCTATTAATAAAAATAATGCATGTCATAATTTGCTGGTTTTAACCATACAAATGTAGTTTTAATGAGAATTCTTCCTGTTGTGGCTAAAGAGGCATGATAATTACAGCTGATCTTCCAAATATTAATTGGGTTTGTAGAAAAAAGGGGAGATGGCTTTTATTTTAAAATAGGAAGAGGTTGCATAGCTTTCTGCTGTTTTCTGTGTGCAAAAATTCTGATACTTCTAATGTAGCCAAGTGTTTCTATTACAAAGGGAGTCAGGACAGTATTTATTAAAGTTGCTGCTGAAACACCCTGATCAATGTAGGCTAGCTCTGAAAGGCACCTGTTCAAAATAGTGCTGTAAACACAGTATTTAGTATTTTAGTAAAGTAACAAAGTTTGACATTTGTTTATACTCCGTTCAAAGAGAGGTAAGTGGTGTCCTATGGCAAAGCAAGTGATGGACAGGGCCCAAAACCTCACCTAGGCCTCTGGGCTGAACTGCTTGCTGGTGCTGACCAGTTGATTATGAACTTTTTATGATACTAAACTACTGAACTGTATTTTAAAAAGGGTAACTGCAGCTGAAAGAAAAAAATAGCACTGTAAAATACCACTAGCATAAACAAGTGTCGTTTTGCTTTTGTGACCACCCATCCAGTGTAAAAGCGATAGTGGACTTTTGGCGTCCATTTTTTGTCTCGATTCTTGGGATGTGTGATACCATTTTCCTAACTGGTGCATGATCTAGAATGGAATTTGTGCCCAGAAACAGCCTGAAGCTTCACACCAAATTGAAAGTCAGAGGGTTTCACTGATGGAAGTGGAAGATTATAGTGCT